AAAAATCTACCACGAACCTATATTCCATTGTTTGAATCATAACAGATGAGATGATTCCCTTGCAACCGCAACATGAAATGAAGAATTGCTGTAGTTGTACCAGAGCATTATCTTGATGACGTTCATATTCTTCAATCCAACTGTCAATAACTATCTGAAAGGAGTTAATTTCCGATTATCATCTGATTAGCTCAGATGTTACGCTAACAAATCAACAAGAACACCAAAACATCAGAACATTCCGAGATCACGTACGTTCAGATTCTTGCCAGCCTTGACCATACTGAAGAGACTACTCTCGTCCGCCGCCTCCTGTGACGTCTGCCCGGCACGTCGAGCACTGCCACCTCCTCGACCTCCACCACGCCAATTTCCTCCAGTTGCTGCTCTCGGACGGCCACGTTTTGCCTTTAATGCATTCCAAAATGACGATTCTTCTTAACGAAACATTCGAAACGAACGTATTGCAGACTTTATAAAGCGAGACACAATGAACAGCCAAAAAACGTGTTCATCACACCATAAGACTTAAAAACCTAAGCAGAAAACTCATCACACCATAAGACTTAAAAAACAGAGCTCATAGCAGAAAACTCAAAATAATACTTCGTCCCACTAGCACAACTTTTAGGTTATAAATAGGTTGCCAACTCCGTCATTTTATAAGCTGATTAATCAAACGAATACTCTGTTGAAAACCAACCGGTGAGCCACTGGCATTACTATCTGGAGTGCCAATATTTGTTGCATCCTCCAGAGTGGGTCTTCGCTTGCGGGCACGCATTGTCATCGATGGAGTGCGAAACAACGAATCGCCGGACGTGTCCATGTGATATTCGGATTGCTGTTCATCGTGTTCATCGCTGCAAAACTCAAACTTAACTCCAGCACACTTCACGTTAAGTAAGATTTTGCTAACCTTAACGGGAACGCACTTTTGTTAAGGTAATCGCTTCATTTGTCCGATAAATAAACGAAAAACAGATCAAGTAAAATAAGATAAATCTCACGATGCTTGCAAAGAAACCACTGAGCTATCCATAGCGGCTCCGGATGAGGCAGGAGATTCAGCGTATTGCATACGATTTGCAACACCTCGGGTAGTCATACGAGTTGGTTGCTGTTGTTGTTGTTGTTGCGGCTGCTGCTGCTGCTGCAGGGTAGTACTATTTTCGTCCATCTAAAATTATGATACGAAGGAATCGGCAAATCAGCATTCAGTTTCATTTGTCATCACACGAAACAAAACAATTTCACTTTGAAACAATAATTCTGAATTTGAATACTGCAAACTTTCGTGCACTAGGCATTTCCCGATTTTCAGTATTGGTGACGATCACACATTCAAAACGTAGACTGAAGAACCACTACGGTGAGTTATTTTCGGCACTCAGTCTCATATTTTATCTGATGAAATTCTTCTCCAAACGGAGAAAACACAGACTTCAAATTTTGTTTAAACCAAAATCCAAACGTATAATTCAAATGTTTGATCGGTTTTCTACAAGCGAGTGACGCGCTTTACACAAGGAAATAAATGTGTGGCAACTCAACAAAAACGGGTGAGTTTTGTTGGAGGTGTATTTTACAGATTGCCGTTTGAGTTGCATTTGGCCGGATAAATAAAACGCTTCGTAAAATCGCACAAAACGAACGGAATGAATGTAGCCGT